TTTTGGGGGTTCATAACAGTTCAAATCAACTATACAACAACTAATGACTTTATTCTATGCAAAAGTATATAACAATGCTTCAATGTTTGTATATAAATGATTTTTTTAGCACAGAATTTAGTACATTGTCATTTTAATACGTCGCCATTTGCATTTATGATCTAAAAAGCATCCATAAAAGTCGCTCAATTTAACATTAATAAAATGCGGTGTGACAAATAACAAATCAGCCCACCAATTTTTAATGATATGTTTCGATCATAAAATGTCAAAATCGAAGACAAATATTGGTTTCGCGCCGAGAAGTATGGTAAATAAAATAGAGTTCATTTCAATCACCCCAAAATCAAACACGACAAATTTCTGGTAAAATAGATGAATTAAAGAACCACTCGCCGGCTAAAATAAAACCTTACACAGATATCCTGGTTAAAACATTATGTGAAAAAGCTTGAATTCTGGAATAAACAACTAAGTTTAAAAAAAAACACATAGCACTGACAATGTCAAAAATAGTGGCCGGCTGCGTACTGATCACGTGACAATGCTTTGCCCATACCCGCAATGCGCCTTTGCCAGGGAAGGAGGCCAATTCACACCTAATACAATGACCGTTTCCAGACCGGGGATAGAGGGACTGTGGTTTAACACACAATAACACAATGCAAAAATTAACAAAGAACAAAACTTTAGTGAAACAAGACACCGCTGTACAAAATCAGCGTACACATGTGACATCGGCCTAATGTGTTTTTGTTTTATTCTTCTCCGATTGACATTCTTTAGTTTTAACAAACGAACCAGATCGGAATAAGTCATACATCAAAATAATGGAAGGGAAAACAGTGATAAATAAATAAACAGAAGGAAGGTTTGCCATTGCAGTTTATTTCTGTGTAGGATTAACTTGCTCATGTTACCGGCAGGGATGCTGTCGTTTGTTTAATCTACACTTGCACTCGAGTGTAGTAACCTTCGTTGATGTTTTTGGCTTTATGACTTGTTCATAAAATTAAATTCATAAGCTATATTCAGTCAGCGATACAAGGAATACTTATTTCTCACTATTAATGTGATTTACCAGCATTCAATTAGAAAATAAAACAGATTAAATTCTTGTTTCCACTTTGGCCGTAAAAAACGAACGTCATGCTTTGAAAAAAAATTGCTACCAGGTCAGAGGTCAATGTCTCAAAATACGTATTTTAGACGTGATTGCGAAAATAAAGTGTATACAGTAAAACCTGTCAAAACCGACCATGACTGGGACTGGGATCTATGGTCAGTTTTCAGAGGGAGTTCATTCAGGGTGGGCGTGACTTC